ATTCACATTTGAGTTCAAATTCGGCCATTTTGAATCTCTCAATTTGCAACCCAACAAACAATTTTAGCTGCAGATTAGCTTATACAGGCGAAAATTGGATTGTACATCTAATTTTTGCCTGTATGAGCTATAGCTATAGTCTGTAGCTAAAATTGTTTGTTGGGCATAACTAGAAAACGTCAAAATGATGTCAGAGACAAATTTGCAGGAAAAAAAAATCCCTTTTCAAGAAAAATGTACACGGTACAAAGTTTCTGGTAATTCAGGGTGTTTAAAACTTGAATAACAAATCATTACCGTATCCACAAAAGTTGTTGTTCTATGATTTTTGTTAATTTTTAAGAGTCCAACATGAATATTTCAGTTCACTTTCACTTCCACTTTCAGCTAAATATCAATATTGAAAGTTTGTTTACTCGATCAAGTGACTATTCGGGGCGTGTTCTTTGCATGCATCTCTATTGTTCTTATCGTTGCTGTTGGATACAAATAATTGGATAATGAATGGCGTTGAAATTAATAATACCGTCAACTTTTACTTCGGGAATGTAACTGCGAAAACCACCATGGTTGAAATTGCTAATTTTGTGTAATTATTTGATGCGGATCCCGTTCTAATGGTAGCGACGTACAGGATAGCTGTGGAAAAAATCTTCTATTTGAGTCCGAAGATTGGATGCTCCACAGATATGAATATGTTCAATATGTGCGAGTTTATGATGTTCCACCAGAACAGATCGTGATGTTGCGTTGATGCTAGGGAAATACGGTAAAGTGAAGCGTGTCATCTGTGTAAAATGCCCAGTAGAGCTGTGTTTCAACATGTACTTTGGTGTACGTGGTGTATATATGGATGTGAAAGAGGGAATTTCCATCTCGCTGCATTTTTTCAATCGGAAGGGCCACAAGGAAACAAAAACATATGTTTTTGTCTAAGCTGCACCGCATGCATTCTTGTTCTAAGCGGAAGGCCCCGAAGCAGCTAGAGAGACAAGAACAGGACGAAGCGCATAAGCAGGATGAAGAGAATCGCGCAGATCGGTCAGGTAGGATTTTAAATAGTAGTTCGTACACAGGTGTCAGGAGCTGCCGAAGCAATTGAGGAGCTCGATGAAGGAGTGATGGCAATCGACGACCGAAACCCCGAAATACCGGAGTGAATAAGAAATGAGGTCAAGCGAAGTCAGGAACAGCATTGACTGTTTTCGACTACCGGAAAAACGCGACATACTTAGGTGCAAAGGAGCTGTTGAAGCAAACACAATGCAGAGAAGAAAGAAAAATCAAAGAAAGAAGAGTGTTGCTGGTGTTGGAGAAAGTAAGCAGAAAACAGTCACCTCTCTGGAAGGAATGAACTCACACAAAGACCATCCATTTTTTTCTCGTGTAATAAAACCTCTGTATTAATAAACACGTAGAGTTTTATAAACATTTAAGCTGACACAAATAAATAAATAAATCTGAAAATGTGCATGAAAATATCACAGAACATATCTTTTTCCATCAGATCTATGAATGAAACAGGTTCAAACAGTTTTCAGTTTTTAAGTATAAATACTTTTTTGGATTTTTCTCTCAAAACTTTCTGAAATTTTAAATCATTGATTTTTTTTCTTAAAACTTTGTCTCAGATGTCATTGATAGGAATTGACGGTTTTGGATTAAAATTTGTTGAAAAAAACCGAATACGCCATTTTGAAATTTTTTGCTAAAATGCGTATGATTGACCATAACAATCAGTTATGTAAAATTTCATGCAAATCAGACGAGTTCGAGTTTGAAATTTAACTTTTTTACTGTTTGGCTTGGAAATGCTCTCAAGGAACCCCATTATTGTCAAATATGGATAGATTTTTCTTTATTATTGTACCAGAAAAAAAATCCAGTTTCATGCGACTCCACAGTTCAGCCCTAGATATAGAGTCCAATAACATTTAGGCCGGAATCAACGGCTTTAATTCCATTCCGAAGGAATAAGTGACCAACAATGTTCGTGTTAAGTGTTCAATTTATGCAACCTCTGGTTAGGGTTACCATATCAAAAACTTGTAAAGGAGCACATTTCATTTGAGGTTTGGAGATTAAGGAGGACAATGATTCCTTTCTTAACATTAAAGTAGGACATTAAGTTTTTATCATACGTTTTAATAATATGTGCGCTATCACAAAATTCATGATTTGCAAAGGTTCAATTGAGATTGTTCATTAATTGTAGTCGTTACCAATTCAATTCATCTTCTTGTTATTCTTCTGAAAAATGCATCAAACTAGCCTTCATAATTCATTTTTGATACTTGGAAATGATCTAGTCTAGCTGATTTGCATGGACACTACAGCTTTACAGGTTTAAAACCATCCCAACTTTTATCATGTACAAAAATCAGGATACATGTCATCATTGATTGAAACCCACATGGAACATCTAATAGCGAATTCGTTTATTATCGGGGTTAACACCAGTTCCAGCCCAGTGCGAAACCGAACTTTTTGTCAGTGTGTACCTCAACCTGAGCTAGGTTTTAAAAACAAACCAGCAAACTGATGTTTGTCAGAAAACAAGCAGACCCAATCTTGATAACCGATCCAGGTTGGAACTGAATAATAAACGAATTCGCTATAAGCAACCTGTTAATTTTACCATTGACTTTAGGGCCGCTGCCATAGTGGGAGCGAAGAGGCGCGCTTAGCGTTCTGTAGAAAATAATTCCTATTATTGATATTATTCCTTACATTCGATTTCACGCTTCGCGTGCCTCTTCCCTAACAGTATGGCAGCGGCCTAAACAAATCAAGCGTAACCATTCAAATCGACGTATCTGCTTTTGTAAACAATCTCTTCAATCGACGATTTGTCTTAACTGCTAACTCACCCACGCAAACAAACACCGTCATCAGGTACAGGGTAAGAAAAACGTACCCAAAAGTAAGTTCTTTTCACTCTTCTCGGCACTTTAGTGCAATGAGCTGGATTACCGAGGTGAAGCAATCACTCACACAACCCCTGTACGATACACGTAAGTACACGCAAGTAGTGACGTCACTACTTGCGTTTACGTTGATTTTTTGGTTTACTAATACAACCCTATTTCACGATCTGCGCCACCTCTCTCTGTACCTCATTGACTTTAGTGCAGGAACCCAAAAGTAGGTAAAGCGGGTTAAGGTAGTTTTCATTTACTTGTGTGCAATTCGTATGGAATTTTTCACTCGCTTTCTACCCAAAAGTAAGTTAGTTGTACCCAAAGGTAGGTAAATATGACTTTACTCAACGTTGGGTTCCCATACTTTATTACCCTTGTTGGGTGGTTTTGCTCCTCCGTGTTTGACAACATTAGAAGAAGGAAAGGAGACAAACTAGTCAAAAGTAGGTAAAAGTAAAAGTAAAAGTAGGTAAAACTTTCGCCTACTAGCTGGTGTTGTTAGTTTCTGTGAGTGAGCTTGCAGTTGCCACAAATCGTCGATTGAAGTGATTGTTGACAAAATCAGATACGTCGACTGAATAGTTATGCTTGAAATACCTAAAATTCCATAGAACCAGAACTTCAAAATCGAACACATGTTGGATTCAATCTGTGTAGCAGTGTTCCATTTGGTGAATTTTAACTTAAATTTGACAGATAGAAAATTTTCAAATAAACCTGCTATTGTACCAGACTTATTTCTGGCAGACCAGTAATCAATTTTGACAAACACCTCGAAAATCACACGATCGATAACAGAGGGATTTTCGAACATTATAATTTATTTTCAAAATGTCCAATTTAAATAAAAATGCAGAAAAATTGATGAATTTTCACTGACGCTTCGAAAATAAATTATAATGTTCGAAAATCCATATGTTGTTGATCGTCCGATTTTCGAGAAAAAGATTGTCAAAATTGAATCCTTGTTTGTCTGAAATAAGTCTGGAAGAATAGTAGGTTTATTTGAAAATTTTCCATCTGTCAAATATAAGTTAAAATTCACCAAATGAACCCCAGCTTAAATGCAGGGGGAGTTGACAACTGTAGTATACTCCCAGTCCCACCATCGAATGAAAGTTGGTAGATAATATGAGGTTGCGACATAATTAAAAAATAAGCTTTGTAAACAATGCTCTTTGAAAACAATTTATTGAATATGTTTCTGAAAAAAATGCAAGGATTAAAAAGGAGGACATTTTCGGGCATAAGGCGGATGTAGAAAAATTATTGAAAAAGGAGGACATATCCTCCTTTAGGATACCATATGGTAACCCTACCTCTGGTTAAAGACGGTGTCAATTGTCTATTTAAAAAAAGACACCAACCCCTATTTCTACATTGTAAATTAATATGCCCAACGCATAACTGTTGTGACTGTGAAAATAAATTACAATAAGAAACATCTGATCATGATATCCTTATACCACGTCATAGCTCCGTAGTATTTACAGTGCTTAATCTTCATTCTCCCTCAGCTCAGTCGGTAAAGGCTCAGCTACAAAGCAAGAAGACCATGCTGGAAAATTTGTCGACTTCCCTGGGCATAGAAGTATGATTGGACTTGCCACACAATTATACCAATACAAAAATGGTACAGGCATCGAAAGCTCTCAATTAATAACTGTGGAAGTGCATCTAGAACACTTAGTTGAGAGCACGCAATAAGCTAATATGCCATACGCAAGAAGCTTGAAATGCGAGGAGGAAGGAAGTAATCTTCGTTAAAACATCATCACTGACAGCTTTGGAAAAGTTCGCGAGTCATAGTGAGTTTTCGTGAACTTTTCTATCACTGATTACTGATCAAGATATTTGAGATGAAGTTATTTTGCATCTTCGGATATGTTGCGCAGAACCCAACATCACGTCGTAACATGTTTTGGTCTAGGACAATATTGTTCCTAAATCGGAGACAATACATTATTTTACGTCATCCGAATGAACATTGTTCCAATTACTAAAAAGTACGCTCTTAATCACTCTTTGATACCAACAATCTTACAATTTAATTTTTCAATCATCAATTTGATTTTTCAGGTGGAATGCCTCGCTTCACGGCAGCCGTCGCCGCCGCAGCCAATATGGCTCAGTATCTCTCTCAGAGCCACGGTGGACCTCTCAAAACCCATTCAGGTGCGCTAGTGGAACGAACTCATCTCTACTGGCCCGGGCTGCAAGGATTAGTCACCAATCCGATGGCCTGGCGGGAACGATTCGGTTCAAGTAAGTGTCCTATTTTAGCAATATGCAATTGAAAGAAAGAGGCAGTGTGATTAAATGTGCCGATAAACTAGGCATCACATTTGCTAGTTAGTTACATCTTTGTTTGCTGTAAATGATTCGATATTGATGGGGCGCAATTCTGGGTACACAAAATACATGAGCTCTGATAAAAACCGATTTAATTTATCGATTGGGGCTGGCTTCTGTGTTTGCCTTGGAAATTTCACATTTTTTCCTTAGATCACTAGAAGGTAATCTTCCAGGCAGCTTTATGTTCTTTTGATTTTATCAATATCATACGGACATTTTACCAAACCAGACAAGCTATGCTCCCAAATCAATATGATATTTATAGCTGTAGATAAGATCTGTGCAAATCAATTCAAGCCCGAAACAACTTGTTCTTGGGTTGTCTCTAATTATCACTGCAATTATTAGGTCTGTATCTGATTTTACTTTTCCGCAGTCCTCCATATGCCCTTTAACCGACGACGTAGCTTACAATCTTAATCGAAAAACAAGACCGAGCCATCGTTAGTCAGCTTGGGAAATCAATAAAGCAGAGATTTAACAGCTGTCTATCGGTCAATTATCTCCGTCGACAATATGATGGAAAACGACCCACTGGAGAATGGGGTGGATATTTTGCAAGGTGAAATCCGGTGGAAGTTTTGGAGGCGACGAGCCCGACCAACATGTTTCGAATAATTGATGATCCAGAGAGTGGAGAAAGAAAAACTTGCCAAAGAGCCAACTTGGCCAGGAAGAAGCCCCGAGCACTTTAGCTGTCACAGCACGGCAGGCTTAGTCTAATACAGTGCACAGTTTGTGTTGTCCGGTTTCGGAGAGTTGCTGAGCGATGAGAACATCCCGTAATTTCCACATCATTTGGAGATGCTTTGTATGCAATTTCGCTACACAGCATCACTTGCACTTAATATATGAAGAGTCGAGAACAGGGCTTGGCACGACTTTGACCGGACAGTGCAATACTGCTGTGAACGGGATCATAGGCATAGATTTCAGGACATTATCAACAACGAAATGCAGCACGAAAATGTTCCGGTGTGTAGTGCAGCATCAGGGATCATCATTATCCATCTATTGACATGCAATGGACGACTTATAATAGAGAGACAAAAGTCTCTTAATGTGTTTGGATCTAAAATGTCCTGCATGCCTCTAGCCGGTTGGCATTCTCCTACAGCTGCATCCAACAACGAACGAACGGTTGGGTAGCTGCTGTGTTGCAACTGAGCCGGACTAGTTTTCGACCTGGACTCTGTCCATCAATGCACAAGGATGCGTTTGGCATATGTGTGTTGGAACTGCACAACTGCTTCTTGGCTATGCCAATCCAGAGAAGCCGCAACGATGGGAGAATATTGTCAGAGGGCTCGCGTATTCGGCAATTACGACGAAATCCTGATCCAAAAACTTGTTGGCACTGGCCTCAGAGGATAGCACTGGGCGATGTTGCTAATGCGTTCTTCCGCCAGCTCCACCAGCATCACCGATGATAGCCAACGTAACGTTTGGAATCAAGTGGCCGGCCTGTGAACGTTCGTTTCAGTGGTGATGGCAATTTATATAGAAGCTCGATAAGTGAGACGGTTTCAAGTGATGCTTTTAAACTATGCAACTGGCTCGACTGTCTGTGGTGGCTTAAGTTTATCTGGTTGCTTCCGCAGGATGAATCACGTTGGAACGAAGCCTAAAAGTTGTCTACTTTTAGAACAAACACTCTTGGGCACGGAAATTGAAGAGATTCGTGGGTGCAGTGGCAGCTTGGTTGGTGTGACATATGGATATTTAATCGAATTTATGAAGGTAATGTGAGGTAGCGCCCCTGTAGTAGGGAGTTAGTTTTCAAAATAAAATTTAATATTTTTATTTTGGAAATGAAAAAAAAAATTTCCCAGGGGTTCAATGCGCATTTTTTGTTTGAACGCTTGTATGAAAACGTTTATAGTTTAGACTAGAGTCGGTGTATAATGAGTCACGCCAAGAAAAAAACAGTTGAACTCGCATCACGGTTTTCGAAAGCTTGCCTTTCTTTTAACTTGGCAACAGAGGACTTCTGCATTAACTTCAAATGACTTCTAGCGAGAAAAATTAATAGCGGCTGTAGTAAATCATTATATCAGTGATTTTGTCAAATTACCTTTACAAAAAATAGTAGAAATTATTATTACTGATCATAACCAAACGTATCCCATGACAATTGAATGCTCACTGCGTGTTTATTATCATTTCATCGATTATATTTTATATTTTATTGCAATACCTTTCATGGACCTTTCATAGCATCGTAATGTTTATTTACTTTGCACGATAGGTAGCTGGTTTGACAGTTCGATAGGTAGACTTGGCTTCACTCTTGGCGTGACTCATTATACACCGACTCTAGTTTAGACTTACAAAATGAGGCCCGAGTGTGGTGTATATATTGCGGAACAATGATTTTTTATTTAAAAAAATGTATCTAAATGTTCTCCGACATCGCTAATTTTTTATATCTTATGTAAAATAAAATGATCTCTCGATTAAAAATATTTAAATAAGAAGGGTCTTCAACCTCGCAGTGAAAATCAAGAAAAAGCATTTGTCAATATTTATGATATAATGGTAGATAAGGAATGAGAGAAAAAAAGAGAGCGGTAAAAAGATAAATCTTTTTACAGTAATCTCTCTTTAAACCGGTGTTTAAACGACCATTTAGTTAAGGAGGATACCGAGTTACAGTAAATTTTTTAAATTTGTAATGGAAATTTAGTTTAAGTCCCTGAATGTCGACAAAGTTGCAGAGAATATCGTGTTAGTGAAAAGCATAGTTGACTTTATTTGAAAAGTGAACTCATTTTAGCGTACAGTATTCATTGATTCATAAAATTACTGCTCACGAATACTTATCATCAATTGTTCGTTTCATCAAGTTTATTTTGAAACATTAACATTTACAGCACGGTTTTAGAAATTATCTTAATTTCGTCTTATTATACCATTGTAATCTTTCAATCGTAGCGTTTGAACCAAATCTTCTGAAGTTCTCCAGTTTTGGGGAACTATTTTTTTTAATTTGGTAGTGGCAAACAGTGTACATTGTATGGAACAAACTGTCGTTACACACGTGATATCTTACCCTTTGTCTGTATCTTGGGGTCAATATGACCCCAGGCATTTTTTGCAATTTTGATTATTAATTTATTTGACCTTTTGTGCATGTGCTTGCAAGTAGAAATATTTCGAACTTTATTTAATACACATTTTTAAGGGTTTTTGCAATGAACTTAGCTTTATTTTTGAGAAGAAGGCAAAGGGTTAAGTGAAGTGCTAGGTCTTGCCATTATCAATGAAAATTTGCACGATATGGGACGGCAGAAGCTAACACTGAATTACTCAGAGATATGATGAGCACCTTTTTTTTCTACATGTGAGATGAGATCAATTGGCAATGGCAGTAAGTGTTGTTGAATTATCATGCGTCATGAATTCTATAATCATGAAACCAACAAAGTACATAGGTCGTATACGATCGATCATGCTGAAAGAGACATCAGGGTTATTGAAGATTTCTAATAGCGTAAATAGCAATAAGGATAATTTCCAGAACCTGTATATTACGATAAACAATACCTTCCTGATTTGATGAAAAACAGAATTGCTGATATGTAGGGTTAACTACCCGATTTCCGGCCTATTAAGCACAACCCGCATTTAGTCTTTCTTAATCTAGCGCAGTTTAGCACCAAACGGAATGTTATTATCACTGACTTCCAAATTTATTTACCTTTCCGTACGTACCGTAAGATTTGATAAAGAGAAACCAATCGTTGAGATATTGTCAAAAGTCTAACACTGCTTCTTGACGCCAAACTCAGCCTACGGATTCTAAACTCGGCCTAACGCATTGAAACGCCAATGAATTCTCTTCGGTCTATCAGATGAAAATAACACATGATTCGGTCGGAGCGCTTCTTTTGTTATTGGGAATAATCGGTGCAAACCTTCATATCACGCGTTCTCATTGACTTCGTTCGGTAGTTTATTAACTAAAGAGTCGTACCAAACGCATAATTGACTTGTTAACTCTGAAAGCGTGGATTTATTTGAACTTTTCTGCTCGATAGGCCCAAAATGGGCGATTAGGCCGAAGTAGTTCCCTACCCTATTCGCGATACTTTACGTTGAAATCAGATCCGATTTCAAATACAGTCAACTCTCCTTCTCACTAACACGATCCTATACTCTATAACTCGGCGGAAACCCAGGCTATTTTGACAACAAATTTAAAATATTTTCCACTGTAAGTCTATATCCTCCCTAACTTGAATGTCCATTTAGAGAGAGTTTACTGTAATAAATGGGGCCTCCCTTAGCTCACTCGGAAAAGGCAAGGCCATGCTGGAGGTGGCTGCGTTGGATTTCCGGTCCGGTCTAGGAATTTTTCGGGTTGGAAAATTTCTCGACTTCCCTGGGCATAGAGTATGATTGTATTTTCCACACAATTATACTAATGCAAAAATGGTACAGACATCAAAAGCTCTCAATTAATAACTGTGGAAGTGCATCTAGAACACTAAGTTGAGAGCACGCAATAATCTAATATGCGATATGCAATAAGCTTGAAATGCGAGGTAGAAGAAGAAGTTAAGCAGGTTAAAACAACTCTCAATAACTCGCGATCTCCTTTTTGGCGTTCATTCAAACATACTACCTACTTTGAGTTGCCTGTGTTGGTGTTCATTCAGCCAAATTAACCAATTTGGTAGAAGCAGGTCGTACTATTTAGTTCGACTTAGTTCTACTAGATTGGCAGCGATCTAAATATTGACAAGAGAATCAAGAAAAAACGAATCGACACATAATTGTTTTTTTTTATAAACATTTCACTGCAAAAATAAAGAAAATTTAAAATCGGATCAAATGGGTGCTCTTCAAACAAGCAAGTCGAACAAGGTCGTGTTTGGTCGAGGTAGGTCAAGTTTTTGACAGAAAGC